CTCAGGATTACTATATCAGTCTATAAATACATAAATATATCCTACAGGTCGATACGACGGCCACTAGTGGATCAGGATAAAATAATAGCAGCGCATTTAGGCATAAATAAGTGCTGCTGTAAATTGTATAGATTTCTGATGGCATGCTACGGCATTTTCATGTAACTGAAAAAACAAATATAGCGTTTATTGACCTAACATATATAACTCATGATGTCTCGAGACGAAGAAACTTGAAATTTTTATGTTTAAGAATTAATCTTATGATTGATTAATTTGATATAATAAAGATCACGTTAAGCCGCAGCGTACAGACTTTACATAACAGACCAATTGTGATCATGATGTTTCAATAATTGTAAGTGGTCGTCCATTAATACAATCTACTCCACTCTCACGTATCTTGTACTGTAAATATTTTTCAACTCGGACCATTTATCGGATGTAACTTACAGCCCTTGACATATAATACATTTATATAAGCGTATATTGCACTCGAGCTAAAGCGCGAATGTCATCCACTTTCATGTTATGTCTAGCGCAGAATCTGTGGTTTGAGTCGATTTCAAAAACGACTTCGTACTTGTCGCCTCTTCAACCTTTTTATCATATACAGGAAGCGGTCTGTTTGTATTTATTAAAACATAGTAATGAGGCTTTTCGATCAGCCGTTAGTAGTTGAAAATCGTGGTGGTAATGCTTGTATTGTAAAAAGATTCTGATGAAATGGTATGGACGCATCAAGTCAATCATTACGGCTGCAGGAATTTTTTTTGGGGTGATTAGTTTATATTACCTTCGAAAATGCACGAGAAGCTATTAGAAACCTGCTTTTTAGCCTCTCTATTCCTTTAAATAGCTACTCCATTCGTCGATACAATGTTAACGCATACTCGACTGGACCTGTATACGTAGTTCGCGTTTCATGCTGAGCGCAACATGCAACAATGAGACAACAGCTTGGGCGACTAGGCGCCACATTTCTAAATCAGATAGTATCATATAAATATGTATCAGGATGGTAGCGTTGTTAGGCTCTAAGCAATTTGTATGTGATTCTTTGCGATGCTCTCCACTAAGACTTCTTGACCGATCACATGGTGCGTTCGAATGCATGGTGAACTCTAGTATCCACCGCGGTTGCATGAGTAAACTTTTCACCCGGGTGAAGCCTAATATGGAGTTTTGCTTATGTTTATAAAACTGCTAAATGCCATCATCTACTTTACTCGGGTACTAATAAGCGCTAAACAAACTTATTTGGTAAATAGCTGCGTGCAAGCTTGGCTTCGACACTCATTCAGTCACTAATCGATTTTTGTCTGACTCGCGGCAGTCTGTAAAACTATCTTTCATGTTATACGAATAATGCTATACGAAAGCTGAAGATCTGATTTATTGCACATTTCTGCCACCAACTTTTAAGGAGCTATTCAAATGTGACCAGGCATTCGCGCTTTTCAATTCCCAAAGAGGATGCATGACTGCATCGACGATAGTGTAAGTAGTTGACGCATATGTTTATGCATACGTATATGCTGATGAAACTAGTGGCCTCCCTCGAGGCCGTAAATAGGCAATAAATTGAGAGCTGTATTCAAAACTTTCTATATATCTATTTTTGGGCCTCCCATGCTATAATCTCAACACAAGCAAGAACTACAACTATCTACCGTTTACCCGTTGCACACATTTTTCATTAATTGGACAATCTTTTCGTTGTAACATCGTGATCTCCAAAAGAAATGATCATTGTTTATCCTTATATATACAATATAAGTACCACTGTTATGCGTTATCTACTATCAGAGTATTTGTATTGACGAACACTAATAGCCTTGTTATGTCACAGTTTCACCCCGTTATATGCATTGACGAATTGCAACAACAATCAATGCTGTACTGTAAAAGCATTTTTTGTAAGAAAATAGGTAGTGATAGCACTTAATGGCGTATTTTGATCGCCTGAAGGTACTCCAAGACGTCACCAGTTCTTTTCTCCAAACAACATTGTAATTTGGCAGCGATATAAGTAAAATAGTTTTTTAGAATTGAAGACATGATCTAGCCACTGCCTTAGTATCCAATGAAAATGAATGCACAGTAGGCGATATTAAAACTATTTAAGAGTTTGTGCTAAAGGATTATCCTTCGATCGTTGACTTCTTAGGAATATTGCTAAAATCAGACATTGCGGATCATCAGCTTCGCTGTGTCAAGTTGTGTCATGAAAGCGCGTGTCTTAGCTATCTATGCGATTTTGGACGCGAAGGAAATCTTTTAAGACGAATCGAAAATGTCCACCGCTTTTTAGTCCTCTCGTACTTACTTAGAGTCGACGACCATGTTATTATAGAAGGAGATTTTCCGACATCAGTGTTGTAGCTATCAGCGCAGTAAGACAAAAAGTACTCTCGCAGATGACATTGAATAACACTTATCCGTCATAATTACACATTCTGCATGTCTCGCCTCAGCTGAACTAGGCCAGAATATGTGGATGACGTCATGTAATGCATGTGACGTAAGCCGCAAAGAGACTATGAGCGTCAAAGCTATAAATACTGTGACCATCACTTTTTGCAAACTGCAGCTCGAACTCGAATGACAAATATGTCCCGGAGCTTAAAGACAGGTGTCATTGGGTAAATTTTCGTGGAATCTTACAACAAGTGATCTACTTCTCTATCGTCACTAAAGCGTGCTTTTAGGAAATTCACGAGTAAAAACTTGTCTAATGCATGTTTTTGACGATTTTGGTGCTCTGTCTTACCGCCCGATCACCCATTCTCAAGGACGTCCGCGGTCGTTTCAGCCTAGATCATATTCACATATACTTCGTTATTTATATCCGATTTAAAGAAGTGCTAGGCGGAATATAAAAGGTACGTGCAAAGCTTCTTGGCCGTAGCGCGCAGAACAGTCAAAGACCGGTCAGCTCTCCATGCTGGTAGATACGGTCTCCGTTGTCGCCAGTATAATTTTGTCGCTACATTGGCGATAGGGCCACGGAATGACATTATGCGCATTGCTGGTAGATTGAACAGCTTCAAGCCACAGAACTGGAAACATTAGGCGGTTTTAACGGCGCTGCAACACATGATAGAACATGTGTCATGTAGAAGAAGTGTGAGCCCTGTGCGAGCAATAATCATCCTTCACTGGAGTTGATAAAATGAGACGAATAAAGTGTATGGGGGCCGCACTAGTGTATTGAGCACGTTTGCGTTATAAATTCCCACGGCAAAAATGAGCACATTAGAAGTCATTGATCTTCTGCGACTACAAAAGAGTGGTACAGTTAAGCGCATTAGACAAAGTTCTATGCGAAGAAAGGATCGATAAGTTCACCGAACTTTGGGCCGCACGTATGTCTCTTTTCAATCCGTGCATGAGCAGCCATCATGTGTGTAAGAAACGCTAATGTGCTGTTCATCTTGACACGGACGAGATGATGACTCTCCTGTATAATGCTAAAACACCTGGAACTTAATTACAAATGATCGACCAAACTTGTCTTGTATTCCTCATGTTTGCTGCTCGGTCGATGGGAACTACATGCTTGCCACTTTAAAAGCCGTATCTTACCGCGTGCGAGATAGACGTGCTGCACAAAGCCGATCAAAGCGTTTTCGCACGTGGTCACGACATGTCACCTGTAGCGCATGTCAAGCACACACGCTCTATCGAGTAAGCCACGCACAAATCGACATGAAGCCAATCGCTTCCATCGACATTATATGACGAATGGCGACGTGATGATGAACTTGAGGCTATGAGCTAGTAGGCCACTTGACCCGCCGTCCAAGTCCAGTCGTTTGTATTCACGCTTTTGTTACAGCTAACATGCATCAACAATACCTCAACCCACCATTATCTCCAATAGCGGCTCTGGCGTTTTGTTCATAGCACACTGCAAGATTTGAAGGTATGGTCACACATTATAAATGCCATTTAATATGTTGCGGCAGCAACACTTATCATCGTATCTACCTTTCATCATGAACTTGAGCCCCTTCAGTTTCGTTGTAACAAAGTTGTGCATGAAGAAACGCACTTTGGTCCTGATGACGGATAAGCGCTTACTACTAGACGCGTTTTCATTACGTGTACATCATCACGCATGCCGACTACACGCGGCCTATACGTGCCTGTAAGGTCGAATGGTGCCAACATGTCCAAACATCTGACGATTGTTATATTATCACAACATCATCGACAGCGTCAGAGCTGCATGCTATACCGATCTGGTATGCATTTGACGTAATCGACCATGGCTTGCGTGAGACAGTGTCGCTGCGAACTTCATTCGATGCTCGAAAATGTCAGTACGGCGTGTAAGAGTCAAGTTATACCTTTGCTTTCGTAATCTAGTTGCAAGCAACTGAAGCAAAAAATGGTACTTTTGGAGCTCGACCTGCAGCTTGAGTATGATTCAGCAGCATTGCTGCTTGCTGATGTTATTCCTACTATTTCAATCGACTTCAGTCGACTTCAGTCGCATATGTGTGATGTGGTTGCGACAACGACCTATCGCATAATTTTTCATCATTCTGCTTTCACAGTCTTCTGTACAGACGGAAAAATTTGCAACAGAGCTCCTCTAATTGTGTGTTCCCGTGACCGCGCACTCATGCCAAGCACCACTTGTAGCCATTACAACGTGCTAGCTCTTGCAACGACATGGTAGCGCGCAACGCACGTACTTCGCCGAGATTACATCCATTGGTTACTATATCGTCCTGTGCGTGCGTCCATTTTGCATCTCAGCCTGTTTGCATCGGCATTAGCTACGCAAGAGTCCGGCGACGGCACATCATCGAAACGAACCTGTCCATACGAGATTGAGTACTATACACCCACATCGACAAGATGGAACGGTGCAATACCGACCATTGCTGAAAACAGTACTCACAATTATTGTAAGCATGCAATCCGTTACAACGACTCCGAAACACAGAGCATGCATGTTCGCAAATCAATATAGGCCAAGCCACAATCTACTTCTTGGGCGCCGTGTCTGCTAGCAGGCGCTCCAAGTCAACCATACTCTCAACGAGCAGATCCTTCAGCTGCGAAATGTCTTGGCGGTAGCTGGAGAGCTGGAACGCCGATCCTTCTTTCTCAATGCCGTAGCCAATGCCGTAGCACTCGTCATTGACAGGACCAAAACTTCCACCTTCTAGTGCTGGGCTTGACAGCGTACTGGTCGACAAGATGATCTTGTTCATTACCTGATGTGCTGGAAGCGTATAGAATTCAGGCACGTCCATGTTCTGTAACTCTGCCATTGCTCGTAGCGCAAACAAATGGCGGTCAAATCCTTGGCCCATCACAGCGTTCTTCGTCAGTTCACTGTGCTTCGCTACAGCCGCACGCAGAGCATTGACTCGTTCGGTATCGGAGCTAGAGGCATCAACCATCTTGTGCACAAAGTTCACCGCCTCGTTCGTACAGCTACGCACGGTCTCTGTCCGTCCATGCTTAAATGCAGCGGTACTGGCACTCTCATACGTCGCCACAAACTTCTCGTGGAGTTTAAAGTGGGCCAACTGAATCGTCATCTGCATGAGGCCGTCTGTTCCAATATTGTATTGCTTGCCAACCGCGCGCGTAACGGGCGTTTCGGCACACGCGATCAGCAACTTTGACATCCACTTTTTATACTCTGTCTTGGCTTTTTTCAAAACATTTTGCATCTCGCCACTAATGTTCCACACAAGTTCACGGACTTTTCCGTGGCAATTGGCTTTCACGACTGGATACTTCACACTGTCATTGTACAATTCATTAATGTAGCGCAGCACGGCGATCCCGTCGCCCCACGCGTGCTCAAAGGTCACGGACGCCGTACCGTTTGCCGCAACAAGTAGTTGGAAACTCTTGTCGAACCAGTGATTGCTGCCATCGCCCGTCAAAAACGTGCGACTCACTTCTTCGGGCGTTGCAGGCGCCTGGTGCTCGAGACACACCATAAAAAGGGCACGGTCAATCACCTCCAAGGATTTCTGATTCACTCCATCTGTCGTTTCCAGTTTGAGCCGGGCGTCCGCCCAAGCGTCGCGATGTAACGTTGTCAGCAGTCCTACCCCTACTGCCTCGTCTGACGGTGTAGCCAATGGCTCGGCCAAGATGGCCTCAATGTTGGCCAAAATCTGCTCCTCACTGACCGCGTCGCCACGATCCGTGAGCACGTCAAAGGTATAGAACTTGGTTCCCCGCTGCACAACGACGTGCTTGGGTGCCGTCGGTGCAATCTGAAGCGCATCGCGGCCTCGTTTGGGCACTCGCGTGCTGCCAAACAGGTGTTTGTACTGCGACATGTCTAACGGGTACGCGCCCAACGCAGCTGCGCCATAGAAACTCACGCGTTCCGGCAAGAGTTTGCAATAGTAGTCAAACGCACGTGTCGTGGTCGTCACAGTCGCATTGGTGTGAAAGATATCTGGCTGAAAGTGCCCATCGCGCAACGTCCGGTACACGCGCACAGATGACGCAATCAACGACGCCGCGCGTTGACTTTGGCTATTTTTAGCTGCCACGGGGTCCATCTTCAGTTTCACTTGCGGGTTGAAGTTGCCGGGCAACGGCTGGCGGTCCGTCAAGTACATGTCGAGCCACCATTGGTTGATGTACGACGTGTGCGGCTGCGACACGTCGCGCGCCACCAGCGCTCGCTGGAGATCAGGGCCCACGCCGTGTTGGAATGCGCGTACGGCGCGCGCCGACTCGGCGAGTTGCGGCCGCGTCACGACCGGCTCGAGGGCCAAAAGGTAGCGCGCGAGCGAGTCTTCGAGTTTGGGGATCGGCAGACGGGGCAGACTCTTCTGAAAGTGGAACGTCGGGATGATCGTCTCGTGCACGTAGTCGCGGAGCTGCGAGAAGGCGCGAGACGCGCGCGCGCGCGGGCGGAGCATTGTGGCGCGGAAATCGCAGAGTGACGGTCCTTCTGGGGGCGGCGTGTCCACGTCGAAAAGATCTGAAAAACCTCACGGGAAACGACCTGTGAGACAGAAAGAAAAACAGCCGTCGCCGACGACAGATAGTTGACATTTCGAAACGTTGCTGACTGTAAATTTCGGTGTAAGTGTACTGTGGCGTTCATACGGCGGTGTTGAGAGAGGATGCAATGTACACAGCGGGAGACAAAACTTGCTGTAAACCGTTTCGCAAGAAAAGAAATGCGCCAACTTGCAGCACTCGATGTGCGTATTGTAGCGGCAAAAGAAGTGTGTTTGACAGTAATTGGTAGAATGAGACGCGTGTACACAATCACTTGACGCGGTGGTGCACTGCGCGCAGCTATGATCGGTGGTGAGCAGAAAGAGGTGTGTTGGGAGTTCTCCCATGTCTCACTCTTCTTTTTTGTGTCTAAAGCCTCTGTGTGGCCATTATCACATTCAATGATCGCGGCGGTCGACAACATTTGATGTCGGTACAAGCGAGTAAAACATCGTGACGTATTGCAGTGTAGGATGGTTACAAGAAAAATTTGAATTTTATATTCGATACTTTCTGACTGCGCTTTCCCTCCTGCCATAAATGACCATGCAACGGTAGGTGAGACATCTCCAGCACCTACGATATTTCATAGGCATTAAGTAGTTGCTTTTGCTAGATATACGCTTCGTGAATTGGGCACATAGAGAATATCAAAACGAGGGTTTCATGCTAAGCAGCCGAAAGATCTGCACTATTGACGTACCAAATAGCAACAGATATTACCTCTACTCGCGGCAGTATTCCGTCTTTTTCCTCACCTAAAATCACTCTCGTTAGCAATGTACTCGAAAGACTACTTACGCTGCCATCGATGTCCGCGCATGTTTTTGCAACGAATCCAATCCTTCGCTATATTGCATTACTAGCTCAAGCACGACAAAATCGATGGTGTGGCATCTAAAACAGTACAATTTCACATATTATACCACCTCGATGTTTTGAACGAGCCTTGACGTCTAAACGCTTGTATCAACGGCCAGATTATTGATGCTCTGGGTACAACTTGCTGCTTCTTTGACTAGTAAGAGCATTGATGGCAAAAAGCATATATAGACCATAAAAGAGTACTCCATTCCTCTTCTACTACTGACACTGCGAGCACCTCAATAACGGTCTACCTACAACGCATAAGGCACGCCATGGATCGTCGTCCTGGACGCAATTTTCCGATTGTTGTAGCGTTCTGACGTTATTTGAGGTGTAAATGAATGACAAGTGTGCTACTATAACGTAGTACATAAATTTCCATTTGTTAGTCGTCCGTTCAGCTATAGTCTTTCGGTACACATCGCACACTTCACATTGGGTAAGATTGATAGCAACGCGTGGGGTGCAGCAGTACTGGTGTCCTGAATACGATTGCGGGTAGTAAGATCCATTCTTCATATATTCCTCGGCGTCGTTTCAAAGTACACCCTTTGACCATCAAATTCCATTCTATTGTTGCCGGTGTAACTCTTTCACTCAGCTTTGGCCAAAGTGACAAACATTCTGGTACTTCATTGTTGTATGACAGTCATCTGTCTTCTATTCCAATCATTCGATTGCCTCGCACACGTGAAAATTTGGCACAGATCAAATTGGTGGTGTACGTCTAATGACGACTATGACATTCGAGACCCGGCCCAGTTTTCAAGTCGCCACTCCATGCACATAAACGCATGCATACGCCCTGCTCCGTTGTTTTAGTTCGCTCCTTTCTCCCGACACCTAGTCTTTTGACTATGTGTGGCCTGTAGTTCTAAAGTGTAGCTTGCATGACACTCGTGCCATCTACTATGTCAGTGTGCAGGCAACACACAAAACATAAGTAGACTTTTTGCATGCATCAAATCGTCTTCTCCACGCCTTTCAAACTTGAATGCTGTGTCTCCATCTTGTTTTCTCTCTTTTATGCTATATTTTATGTTAAACCGGGCACATCCGAACTATATTACTAGCCACTTCCGCACTGTTACCTTCGTCCATTATTTATATGTTGTTTCTTGCAAGACTTGTATGACACAAGCTAGTCCAAACCCATTTTTTGTAGAAACTACACGCGATGTTAAGCTATATCGTTCTAGTAATTAAATGAGAAATTTAAAATTACGATTGAAATCAAATCTTCAATGATAATTAATATTGACGAACTCGTCCTGTCTACAGTTACATATATATGTTACAGACAATGGGATCCGATAATTTATCATTTGCCTATTACAGTGAGCGTGAGGTATCGCAATACTTACTTACACTGTACTCAGTGTTTGTAGCTTGAACAGTGTCAACAAATGCGCCCTTTATCTCGCTATTTTAGTATGGCGGATGATGAAACGCTATAAATTTTCAGATAAGATGAGATAGCCATACGTGAGGAAAAGTAAAAGGCTGAAAATACAGCAATACTTTCTCTTGGACATTGTTCGATGCATTAACCTAAATAATTAACGATCCAGAAATGTAACGTCTCTCACCCCCGTGGTCTTTAAATCATTGATCACAAACTGAGATCGGGTAACGATATGAATCGATTATACAAAGTGTAAGTTCTTATTCAAGAGTATACCAAATTAAGTTGATGTTCATTTTATCGGCCGTGATGGAGAAATGACTGAATAATAGGCGCAAAGACTGTGCGAGATAAGCTCCTTACGAATTCGATAAGGTAGTCCATCATCCATACCACAAATATTTGGCCATCCATACCATTTCAATTACAAACAAACGCATCATATATACCGTAATTTTTTCGGTTGACACCGCTCTGGCCAAACAATTTACGACAACGACTTACATATATTTTTCCGACAAAAGAATTGCACTCACGGACCTCATTTATGCGGTTCTGGTGTCGATATAGCTGCATGATACGGGCAGTAAAAAGATATCCTCGACTCAGTGCTCGAATAATGAAGTCTACAGTTTTGCGCAAACATGCATGGATCATCAACTTATAGCAATGCTTTAAAGCGCAAACTTATCCTTAATCGGCCTCTAAATCACATACTGATAAAGTGTACCGCTATTTTGCAAAAGTTCTTAGCGTTAAATTCTGACGTTTGTTACGACCATCTAAGAAACAATTTAAGAAGGGGTGAAGTTTGCTTCGACAATATTCGCAAAGCGCGACTTAAAGCCGCCATATGTAGCTTAAAAATGGTCATTGGCAATAGTACAACGACCATCTAACCATGGATGTCAATTTCTGACGTCATCAAATTATCTCCAATTTCCGTCATTTTATCACTCTTCATTTTAATCATCGACTACCATCTTGTCTGCTTCGCCAAGAGAAGCCGGTGTTTGAAAAAATATATACGATATCCAAAAACAAGCTTACACAAAATAATTTTGTCGCGAACGAAGAAAACTTTTTTTGGTATTACACATCATTTGTGTCCTATCTGATATTCTGGAAAGGGCTTGTTTGATGAGATTTTAGCACTATGCCTCGAACAAATTTTGCTCATGCACTCGCACTTTTCCTTATCAATATTCGTTGCGTTAGTATTGACTATGCCGCACCACCATGAACGAGATGATATGATATGCCAGTTCTGCCGGACCTTCTATGCGATCAAAACAAGCTGAAATACTTAGTAGAAGCTATAATCTCCAGATAACAGATAGAAAGCGAGCTCGAATCGCTGTGCGATTATCAAAGCGTCTTTCAAGACCGTCAATTAAATGAGTGACCGATAAACATAAACATTCGGGAATATGAGGGGTGCAAGTAAAAAGTATATGTATAGTACATAATTTGATGAAATGGTTGCAAAGACTGATTTGCTCACGAAATTCACACACATGAATTTGCTGCTCAATCATCAACAGCTTCCTTCTACTTAGAGCATAGAGTAGGGATCATGCAATCAAACCATTATATCAAGGTGTCATAATTAATCGAGGAGTAATTTAGATGTCTTTGTTGCGCGACCGGAATGATCGGAAGTATGTATATCTACTCCCTTCACTTCAGCATTTAGGTAGCTTTCACCGTGGTGGTGTTTACTTTGCCTGTCACGTCTCAACAGTAAGATTTATACATATATATATAGTAAGTGCCCAAAAATGTTGCGTTACGATAGTACAAAAATTCTTATACATGCGGTAATAAGCATGCAGTCCGATGAAACTTCAGAGATTTCGCATCAAACGTTTTCACCAAGAGCTTTCATAATGTTTGAATTCGTGTGCAGCGGTCGTGGCAAAGCCTGTATACGTTAGGTGCAATCTTTTTGTAACGATGGAAAGAGCATCATCTGTAAGCGCAAAAAGTGAATATGGTACAGACACTAAGCATCCGTTTTTATATACAATACAGGAAACTGAACGTAGTATATCATCCGACAGATTGATATATTTTGCTGCACCATGCGAGCAAAGCAAAAGAACCATATGTTGTTGTGTTTGGTATGCAACTATTCCTGACAGATTAAGTAATGAATCCGTCAGTGCTATATATGTTTCGACGATATACTTGATTTGTTCAGAAGCACGAAAATAACAAAATTTTGGATATTAATGGGACCATTTGATACAATTATATGATTAATTGGTCAGTATGGTTAAGATACGCTACTAACGGATTGCAGATCCAGCGTATTAGAATTTTACGAGAGGTTTTAAAAAACAAGCTACAAGGATTATGGTACTACTTATCGGAGAATATGGGCATTACTTTAGAAATCTCGTTATATATTGTTTAATGATCCTACAGCTACAAGGACATTATATTGTTGATACAGCTGGTATCTTGATCCATTATCACGTGCACAAGGTCGCTGGTGACGATTAGAAGCTGCACACAGCATCTATTTATCACGTTGATGATAATAATTATTATTAAGTGAAGAAGTTGCCTCTTGTTTCAGTCTGTATTATATTGTTTTGACATCATTGCCATCGCTTGAACAAGGATGGCTCAATGGAC